AGAATAGCTGCTATGTTTTTATGCTCCTACGAAGAGTCCACGGAGAGTTTTAGATCCCCACAGGGACTCAGGATTAGTACATTTTCAACGTTAAACTTGGCAGTGAATTCGATCCTCTCCGCCTCATTCTATCCAGCCTGCAGAGCTACATCCACGTCGGTTTCACAAATTCCAACCTCATAATCGGAACAAAGATACATTTATGGAAGGGAATTGCGACCATACCAGAGGCCACACAATCTTGGTCTTCATATCTTCAGAGATAAATTTGTTTATTCATATTTCTTCTCTACTCATTGCTCTATTGGATTGCCTCTATCATCTAAAAGATGATGGATTCTATACCTGGAGACTCGGTCATAAGAAGCTGATAAGAGGTTCATAAGGCGTTATCAGAACAAACTGTTTTTCGGAGTCACCGGTTGAGGATGGAATAATTACAGAACTCCAGATAAAGTGGCATAGAATCCATCTTCGTTCAGATGATAAAGGCAATCCAATAGAGCGGAGGAGTAGAGAAGACATATGAATAAACAAATTTATCTTTTTTCAGAGTGTGAGGTTGGAATTTGTGAAAACGACGTGGATGTAACTCTGCAGGCTGGATAGAATGAGGCAGAGGAGAGCGAATTAACTGTCAAGTTTAACGTAGAAAATGTACTAGCCCTGAGTCTCTGTGGGGATATAAAACTCTATCGACTCTTCGGAGGAGCATAAAAACATAGCCACATTCTATCCAGCCGGCAGAGTTACATCCACGTCGGTTTCACAAATTTCAACCTCATACTCGGAACATAGATACATTTTTTTAGAGGTTGTTTGACCTTATTTTCGCAACATGTTCATATTGGTAGGAAGACTTAGAGGAACGCATCTAGTCCGGAGTCCATTGTATGATTGATTATTTCCAAAGTTGGACCGTGGATGTGGTACATTCCCGGACGTTTCGCCAGCATCGTAGTCGGCATCGTCCGTGAGTCTCGACATTCGTAGCACCATATTACAGCTCATCAAAGATACAAATGAAGCCCAACCTTTGACCAAACGTGTGCTAAACAGTTGTGGTTTCATTTGTGTCTTTGTGTCTTCGACTTTTGGAAATGTACCACGTCCACGGTTCAAATTTGGAAATTATCGTGCAGACAATGGACACCGGACTAGGTGAATTACTCTAAGTCTTTCTACCAACAGGACCAAGTTGCGAAAACAAGGTCAGGCAACTTTTATACAACGAAAGGAGACTGCGACTACGCAAAATGGTACATAATCATAGTCTTCATACCTCGGATAAATTTGCTAATTCTTCTCTACTCCTCCGCTTTATTGGACTGTCTCTATTATTTGAGAGATGATGGATTCTATACCACTTTATCTGGAGTTCTGTATTACTTCCATGCTCAACCGGTGACTCCAAAAAGCAGTTTGTTCTGATACCGCCTTATGAACCTCTTATAAGCTTCTTATGACCCGGTCTCGTCAATTTAGATTCTTCCACCTGAATAAAAAATCCAGTAAAACCTTGTCCGGTGAAAGTGTTAGACAATTCTCTAAAATGGGCATAACCATGAAAAGGTTACTTTCCTCAGCTGCCTAGTTCCGATGTCCTGACAGAGTGGCTATAACTATCTATTTTGCCCTAAATAACTAGTTTTCAAAGACCATTTCTTAAAATAGAGAATGTTTTTATTAATTATAGTGGATAATTGCTTTAAAGGCTGAAAGGTACAAAGATTAATACCACTGATTATAATGGTAATACTCTAGACCAATTTTGTTTATGTGCATTCAAATGACTTTCTTCACAATCCTCGAAGGCTTGATCCTATCAAACCAGGTAATGAAATTATGAAATACCAGCAAGTTCAATAAATGCTGAAGCAAAACTTCGGTAGTGACGATTCAATCCTTCTACTTTCACCTTATTTCTGCTGTAAGTCAATGCAACCCATCTACTCAAACTTATATTTACCTCTTTGAGATACGAAAATAATAACCATACAAGTCTTAAATAGCCTTCATCAGTCACCGATATATTATATGATAGGTTTTTAATAGGTTAATGAAGTGGAAATCTCTAAGGCCCAAATTTTGGGACACAAAGAACCCACGCACTTGTACAGTGTCCACTGGCTCATATCATTTTCAGTTTTGTTGGCAACACGTGCCAATAATTTCAAAATGATGTAGAAAATGTTTACTGATTTTGTGTGAGTTAATGAACATATTTGAGAATATGGCTCATGTGAAAGAATTTGTGACCCAGACAGTAAATCTTAAAGAAACTGGCCATTTCTACTGGTGGTCCGATGTAGGTGTAGGATTGATGAAGATTAAACTGTATAACCTGCGTAATCTGATGAAATCGTTCAGAGTTACGAATTGTGGATGTGTGCATTCATGTGCGTGGATGTTGGTGCAAGCTTGGGCTTTGTTTTGTGTGATATTGGTCGGTGCAACTTCGTGCTCACCACCAAAGAGGGAGGGTTCACGAGTGATTCCGATGAGGAGTTGGATTCCGTACATCCTGGCTCTAATAAACTTCTTTATGTCAAAAGCAATACAGATTTGGAATTGTCAACAGTTATTTTATCTATCTGGGGACCAAGTACAATTGAGGCGACCCAATTTTAACTAGTTACTTATTTGACTGATAGCATTTATGCTCGGGAATTCGATTAGCGTTTAAAGTATTATGCAATCTGTCCGATGTTTTATTAGGAAATAAAAATTAAGCTCTACGGTTTACGCAGGACTAATGCTAACTATTCTGAACTAAGTGTATGACGAATTTTGGCTGCACTTTTATTTCATACTCTGATGATATTTCAGATGACAGAAGAAAGCTCAGCATTCGTTCATCCGATCGCTGGCCCTTAATTATCAAATCAGATGTATCAACTGCAAAACAGCCTTCATTTGGTTTCCAAAGGAACCAATTTTCTCAACCCTCAATAAAGCCTTTTTTATTGAATAGGTCTAATGACGATGACTTATTCATGGATTAAAAAAACAGCTTTATTGAAGAAGTGGTTTGACTTTGTTGTCATAGCGACTTAGTAGAACTCACCTTGTCCGAAGTCCTCTGTCATAGGAATTAGCATAGTTCCCAGCAGCAGACAGTGGACCTGGTACATTCTAAGACGTTTCGCCTGGTTCGCAGTTGGCGGCATCAATGAGTCTTGCCATGAGGGAGATCTGGAGAGGGTCAGAGTGAAGAGCAGGTGTGATAAGGCCACAATGTAAACAAGTGAGAAGTAATGATATGGCGGGAGTTGGATAAGA